TGCAGTGTCCCCACGCTGTCCCCTGTCCCCGCAGCGTGTGGGGGGGCAGTGTCCCCACGCTGTCCCCTGTCCCCGCAGCGTGTGGGGGGGCAGTGTCCCCACGCTGTCCCCTGTCCCCGCAGCGTGTGGGGGGGCAGTGTCCCCACGCTGTCCCCTGTCCCCGCAGCGTGTGGGGGGGCAGTGTCCCCACGCTGTCCCCTGTCCCCGCAGCGTGTGGGGGGGCAGTGTCCCCACGCTGTCCCCTGTCCCCGCAGTGTGTGGGGTGGCAGTGTCCCCACGCTGTCCCCTGTCCCCACAGCGGCAGTGTGTGGAGTACGCGCTGAAGGCGCAGCCCCTGCGCCGTTACATCCCCAAGAACCGCACCCAGTACCGCGTGTGGGCCATGGTCAACTCCACCGCCTTCGAGTACATCATGTTCGTCCTCATCCTGCTCAACACCATCGCCCTGGCCGTGCAGGTGGGGGGACACCTGGGGGGACACCTGGGGGGTCACAGAGGGGACAGTGCCAGACCCCTGTGTCCCCCCCAGCACTACGAGCAGTCCAAGCCCTTCAACTACGTGATGGATCTGCTCAACATGGTGTTCACGGGGCTCTTCACCGTGGAGATGGTGCTCAAGATCATTGCCTTCAAACCCCGGGTATGCCGGGGGGGGGACAGGGGGCAGGGGGGTGACACCAGGGGGTGTCCTGGGGGGGTGACACAAGGACAGGACAGGACAGGGGGTCCTCACCACCTCCTCCCCCCCAGCATTACTTCTGCGATGCCTGGAACACCTTTGACGCCCTCATCGTGGTGGGCAGCGTGGTGGACATTGCCGTCACCGAGGTCAACGTGAGTCACCCCCCCTTGTCCCCGGGCTCAGAGGGTGTTTTGGGGTGGTCCTGCAGGTCTGGGTCTCCCCTCATCCGTGGCCTCATGTCCGTCTGTCTGTCTCCATCATCTCCATCATCTCCATCCATCTCCACCTGCCTGGGACAGAACGGGGGGCACGTCGGTGAGGTACGGGGAGCTGTCCCCAGCTGGGGGATTTTTGGGGGGGCTGTGCAGGGTTTTTTGGGGTGCCCCTGACCCCCCTCCCCGCAGAGCTCGGAGGACAGCTCCCGCATCTCCATCACCTTCTTCCGGCTCTTCCGCGTGATGCGCTTGGTGAAGCTGCTCTCCAAGGGCGAGGGCATCCGCACCCTGCTCTGGACCTTCGTCAAGTCCTTCCAGGTGGGCTGGGGGACACGGGGGGGACACGGGGGGACACGGGGGGGACACGGGGCAGGGACAGCACCCCCTCACCCCTGCTCTGTCCCCAGGCCCTGCCCTACGTCGCTCTGCTCATTGCCATGATCTTCTTCATCTACGCCGTCATCGGGATGCAGGTGAGGGGCCCGGGGGAGGCGAGGGGTGGGGGGCTTGGGGGGGTTGTGTCCTGTCAGCCCCCGGCCACCCCGGCCCCTCTGTCCCCTCAGACCTTCGGGAAGGTGGCGTTGCAGGACGGGACCCAGATCAACCGCAACAACAACTTCCAGACGTTCCCCCAGGCCGTGCTGCTGCTCTTCAGGTGGGGCTGGGCCCTGGGGGCTCCGGGGGTTCCGAGGGGTCTTTGGGGGGTCTTTGGGGGCTGGGGGCTCTGGGCTTCTCTTAGGACTTTGGAGATTCCTCTCAGTGAATCATGAAAGGAGGTTACAGATCTGCCCCAGGGGTTCAGGTGTGTCCCCTGGGGTTCAGGTGTGTCCCCAGGGGTTCAGGTGTGTCCCCTGGGAGTTCAGGTGTGTCCCCAGGGGTTCAGGTGTGTCCCAGGGGTTCAGGTGTGTCCCCTGGGGTTCAGGTGTGTCCCCTGGCATGCAGGTGTGCCACGGGGGAGGCGTGGCAGGAGATCATGCTGGCCAGCCTGCCGGGCAAGCGCTGCGACCCCGAGTCAGACGTGGGCCCGGGGGAGGAGTTCACCTGCGGCAGCAACTTCGCCATCGCCTACTTCATCAGCTTCTTCATGCTCTGCGCCTTCCTGGTGAGACACAGGGCCCTGCCCCACAGCCCTGCCCCACAGCCCTGCCCCATGGCCCTGCCCCACAGCCCTGCCCCACAGCCCTGCCCTATGGCCCTGCCCTATGGCCCTGCCCCACAGCCCTGCCCTATGGCCCTGCCCTATGGCCCTGCCCCACAGCCCTGCCCCACAGCCCTGCCCTATGGCCCTGCCCCACAGCCCTGCCCCACGGCCCTGCCCCACAGCCCTGCCCCACGGCCCTCAGGACCCCCATGGCCACCCTGAGCCCCCTTGGCCCCCCCAGATCATCAACCTGTTCGTGGCTGTGATCATGGACAACTTCGATTACCTGACGCGCGACTGGTCCATCCTGGGCCCGCACCACCTGGACGAGTTCAAGCGCGTGTGGTCCGAGTACGACCCCGCGGCCAAGTGCGTGACGTCCCCTTGTCCCCAGCCGGGGGGGGCCGGTGTCCGTCCCCCCGTGACCCCCTGTCCCCCCCAGGGGCCGCATCAAGCACCTGGACGTGGTGACGCTGCTGCGCCGGATCCAGCCCCCGCTGGGCTTTGGGAAGCTCTGCCCGCACCGTGTGGCCTGCAAGGTCTGGGGGGGCCCTGGGGGGGGTTTGGGGTGTTCCTGGGGGGGGACACCCGGGCTCACCCCCCCTCCTGTCCCTGCCCAGCGCCTGGTGGCCATGAACATGCCCCTCAACTCGGACGGGACCGTCACCTTCAACGCGCCCCTCTTCGCCCTGGTCCGCACCTCCCTCAAGATCAAGACGGAAGGTCGGGAGCTGGGAGGGTCTGGGAAGGGTCCGGGGGACAGCAGGGGGTGACAGTCACGGCTGTGTCCCCCCGCCGTGTCCCCTCCCTGCAGGGAACCTGGATGTGGCCAACAAGGAGCTGCGGGCCGTGGTGAAGAAGATCTGGAAGAGGACGAAGCCGAAGCTGCTGGACGAGGTCATCCCCCCGCCTGAGGGTGCGTGGGGGCCGTGTCCCCTCCCCCGGCCCCTCGGCCCCCCGGCTGCCCCCTGACCCTCCGTGTCCCCCAGAGGAGGAGGTCACCGTCGGCAAGTTCTACGCCACCTTCCTGATCCAGGACTATTTCCGCAAGTTCCGGCGGCGGAAGGAGCGGGGGATGCTGGGCGCCAGCGCGGGCCCCAGCAACGAGTGTGCGCTGCAGGTGTGACATCCCCGGGCCGGCCCGGGGGGTCCCAGGGGTCACCAGGTGACCCCCTGACCCTCCTGTGTCCCCCCAGGCCGGGCTGCAGACGCTGCAGGCGCTGGGCCCTGAGATGCGCCGGGCCCTGAGTGACCTGGAGGGGGACGAGGGCGGGGACGCCCCTGCGGAGGAGCCACTCACCTACGCCGTGAGCCCCGCCCACCCGGCCACACCCACCGGCCACACCCACCGGCCACACCCACCCCAATGTCCCCTGTCCACCCCCCTGGCCACAGCTGTCCAAAATCACCCCAAACGAGCTGTGCCGGGTCCCAGCCGGGTCCCACCTGTCCCAAGGTGCCCACACCTGCCGTGCTTCTCTCCGCAGGCCCCCGAGACGCTGTACGGCTCCGCCCCCGGCTCCCCCCTGCTCTCGGAGCCGCCCCCCGTCCCCAGCCCCGCGCCCACCGAGGGGGAGGACCCCGCGCCCCCCGCCCACGGGGGCGCCCCCCGCCCGGGCGGCAGGTACGGGGGGGCTGGGGCCGGCCCGACACGGGGCGGGGGCTCCCCGGGGAGGACGGGGGCTGCCCGTGGCTCTGTGCGCAGGCGGCGCTCCGAGCCGGGGGACCAGGATGAGGAAGCCCCCGCCGAGGACGTGGAGGAGCCGGGGGCCGACCCGGGGGACGTCAGCCACGACGAGGACCTGGAGAGCTCGGCACCGCCCCGGCACCGCTGGGCCGGACACAGGTACCGCGAGCCCCGGGGACGAGCTGCAGCCGGAGGGGTCCCTGCAGCTGGGGGGGACACGCTGTCCCGGGGGACGGTCCCAGCCCCGACTGACCCGCATCGTTCCCGCCAGGGCACCGGGACCCCCGCGCTGGGCGGCGGAGCTGCCCCGGGGGGGGTCGCTGCCGCTGCCCCCCCGGCACTTCGCGCTCGGCAGCGGCGCTCGCGAGGGGCAACAACTGAAACGGCGCCGGCTGCTGCCCCCCACCCCCGCGGGTACGGCGGGGAAAGGGGCGGGGGGCAAGGGAAGGGCCGGGGTATCCAGTGAGACCCTCCGTGCTCGCTGAGCGAGCTCCCCCCGTAGCCCGGGACGGTTCCCCGGTAGCCCAGGGAGGTCCCTGGGGCTGGGGGTGGGGGGAAGATGACCCTCCGTGGTGCCCGGAGAGTCCGCGGTGTCCCGCAGTGGCCCAGGAAGGGTCCCCGATCGGTGGGGGTGACCCCTCCCCGTGCCCCCCGGTGGCCCGGAGGGTTCCTAGAGCCGGGGGTGGCTCGGCCCGGTGCCTCCCGCTAGCCCCGAGGCTCCCTGGCTGAGGGAGTGACTGTGCCCGGTTTCGCGGAGGGTCCCTGGCCGGGGGCTGACCCTGCCCGCTGCCCCCCAGGCCGGAAGCCCTCCTTCACCATCCAGTGCCTGCGGCGCCAGGGCAGCTGCGAGGACGAGCCCATCCCCGGTACCTACAACCCCTCGGGCCCGCCCGGCTCCGCCCGGCCGCAGGTACTGCCGGCGCTGGGACAGAGCGACGCGAGGGGACACTCCGGCAGTGCCACCCCCGCGCTGACCCCCTCCTGCCCCCAGGGCTACGGCAGCTCCGAGACCTGGCGCCTGGGGGGCTCCTCGCAGGCCTGGGCAGCCCCGGCCCGCGGGCACGTTCTGTACGCGCCGCTGATCCTGGTGGAGGGGGCTCCGGCGGCGGGGGGCAGCCTGCCCCCCCTCAACCGCTGGTTCCCCCCCGCGCCGCTCCGCCTGCGGCCCTGCGGGCCCCACGACGCCCTGGCCCGAGGCTCGGCCGACAGCCTGGTGGAGGCCGTGAGTGGGGGGACACGGGGGGCACAGGGGGCACAGGGGGTGACACGGCTCGGCCGACAGCCTGGTGGAGGCCGTGAGGAAGGAGAGGGACACGGGGGGACGCAGGCACGGCCCCGGTGCCAGCGCCTCTCCCTCGTCCCCCCACCCCACGCAGGTGCTGATCTCGGAGGGGCTCGGGCTGTTCGCCCGCGACCCCAAGTTCGTGGCCGTGGCCAAGCGCGAGATCGCGGACGCGTGCGATATGACCATGGACGAGATGGAGAGCGCGGCCGCCGACCTGCTGACCCGGCGCCGCGCCCCGCCCGCGCCCGCCGTCTACAGCGACGAGGAGCCGCTGCGGCCGCCGGCCGAGGAGGAGCTGGCGGACGAGATGGGCTGGGCCGGCGGGGTCTAGAACCCGGCACAAGGGGGCCGGGCGGGCCGGCTCCGGAACCCGGCACAGGGGGCTCGGCTCCGGAACGCGACACACCGGGCCCGGCTCTAGAACCCGGCACAGGGGGCCCGGCTCTAGAACCCGGCACGAGGGGCCCGGCTCCGGAACGCGACACACCGGGCCCGGCTCCGGAACCCGGCACACCGGGCCCGGCTCTAGAACCCGGCACGGGCGGCCCGGCTCCGGAACGCGACACACCGGGCCCGGCTCTAGAACCCGGCACGGGCGGCCCGGCTCTAGAACCCGGCACGGGCGGCCCGGCTCTAGAACCCGGCACACCGGGCCCGGCTCTGGAACCCGGCACGGGCGGCCCGGCTCTGGAACCCGGCACACCGGGCCCGGCTCCAGAACCCGGCACGGGCGGCCCGGCTCTAGAACCCGGCACACCGGGCCCGGCTC